ATGTAATCCACTGTTGTGCTACATCCTCTAAACAAAAACTAGCCAAAGTTACTGGCCTAGTGCTCAAAGTTCCCAAGGCACGACAGATCCTCTCCATAGTGTCCAAAAATCTACGTGGGTCCTCTCCCACTATGGAACCAATAAAAGATGGAGGTTTTAACTTCATAAATATAAATAATGAAACTAAGTCATCTCCTTTGCCATCATTCGAATCATTTTTATCCTCTTCCTTCGACTCTTCTTCCACTATCATATCTGCATCAGAATCATAATTCGGATCTTGTGAAGCAAACTCCATGTACTCTTTAGTCGCACTAGTACATCTCTGAGTAAACTTAGTAAACCGTTGGGTTAAATTTCGCAACCCAGCAGCTAACTCATCCAAGGTAATGCTCTCTACAGTAGGTCTACCTGCTCTGGTGCTATTTGTAGTAGCACTCTTTCGATCACTTGAACTACCCTCACTTGAGCGTTGAGAACTCCTCCTCCCCTAGTTCTAGAACGGCCTTATCCGTGAGAGGTTGAAATCTGTAATTGTTCATCAGTTTCTCAAGGAGCGTTCGATTTACCCGCAACCCTCTAAGATGCTCGTGTCTGAGGTGGCATCTCAAACCTAGACATTGATAATAAATTTTCGTTATTTAATGATCTCTTATAATTTCGCATGATGGTTTTCTAAGATAAAGAGGTCTACACAGCCTCCTGCCTATAATCGGTGCTGTAGTCACTAACTACAAGCTAGACTCCACGTTGACCCTACTACTTCGATGCTTGACAGAAGAATTCCTAAGACTCAACTAAACCTAGGCTCTAATACCAAGTCTATAACGACCTCTTCCCTCAATCGCTACCGGCATTCGAGACTTGCGAGTGAACTCACCAAATCCCAAACAAGCCTTAATTAAATCTCCAAACAACTTAAGCTCAACTTAAAATATTAACACTATAAGTCATCTAAACCAAATATTCATAATATTTCAAACATAGCCATTTGATACCAACATCTAAGTTTCATAACTCCATACAACTCATCGTAATATGTAGTCATTATTACATAACCTTAAACTCTAGCCATTTCACTTTCAGTGACTATTGATTCTTACAAGTCAGACTATTTGACATACAAACCGACCTTTAGGCAGTGGACCGACCTGGGGTAGAAGTCTAGAGATGCCATTACCTAGGTTGTAGCCAACCTCGCGATGCTGAGCAAAACTCTAGAATTGATTACTTATCTGCAAAAGAATATATGAAAGGGTGAGTCTCACAGATTCAATGATCATCGACTCTGTGAGTAAGGCGTAGATGGAAAACAAGCTAAAGGCAGAAGATTTGAAAATTTTAAAAATATAAGAGTATATGTAAACAATTTACTAAAAAGGGAAAATTGTGCCTAATATGCAAATAAGTGAATTTCTGCTACATAATCATTTAATATAGGGTTTAAAGTAATTAAATGTTATCATGCATGATCTTGTAAAAATCCAACATTTCATAGAGTTTACACGTAAATTTCACAATTCACCCCATACACAGGGAATTAAATCGAATTTCATCATATAAGCAAAGGAGCAACAAAAAAACTATTACTTTTCGCTATGAGAAAATTACTTATGTGAATAAAACCCAAAGAGATATCACTCTCGAGTAGGTATAGGAATGCAAGCACATGGACCCGCTTCCACGTAATAACATCCAGGAGCTTCGCTCCACCTAATCCCCACATGCCATGGTAGTCTCAAGGAAGTTGGCCGACATCGGAGAAATTAAGCGATCGCAACCGCGTATAACAACTTGTGGCCTAGCCACGAAAAATCATTGACCCTGGCCCCAGTCATGTCTAACAGCCCGTCAATGACCCAAAGATCCTCTAGCTAGAGCTCACTTGTGTACAAGGGTCACACTTAACCGGAGTGACAACTGGCCTACTCTCGAATCTCTCGGTTTAATAAAACCCTTTTAAAATATAGTTAGTCCTCAAAATTCATTCCAAAACTCATTGTCAAAATGTTCATGTAGTACATCATGAAATCCCGTGTAGGTCTATAAAATACAACTTGTTGCATGAGATTGAAAGATCATTTAGCATGGTGAGTATATGTTTCCATCATGAATGCATATTACACAAACCATAAGGCACATACTTGACCTAAATCATAAAGAAAAACTTGTTTCCCAATTCTAAGAACTTTTATGTAAATTTATATATGTATATAGCTTATATATTTTCAAAACCATTTCAAAATCACAACATTCACAATTTCCTAACATTTCTACCAACTCATGCTTTCCACAATTTTTCATTGT